ACACACACACACACACACACACACACACACACACACACACACACACACACACACACACACACACACCGCAGTATTTATTAGAACTTGCTGTAGACCGTAGAGTGAATCTTCACAAATTAACGTTTTCTTGCTTTGTTGCTCTTTCTGTAGAAGTAAAATATTCTCAAAAACATAAAATAAAACCCCAGAAGTATTTATCAGTTAAATATTAATATTGTTATTAAGAATCATAAGGTTCTCACCCAGAAAAACAACGACTCGTCTCATCTTCAAAGCTTTGTGATGAAGACCTCCTCTTCCTCTAACCTTTTTATATCTGCTGATGTTGCCCTTGGTTCCTGGTTCTGTTGGGAGTTTCCAAACTCTCAGATTGAGCCACACAGAAAAGTCCTGACTTTTGACCCTTCAGACGGCAGCTGTTTACAGTCGGCAGCGGTTCTCTGTTCTGTTCTGGACAGAGTTCAGAAGGTGAACTCAGGTGAATTATAAAATATGGACTTTAAACTTTACTTTGATGTTGTGGTTTTAATAAAAACAAAACTCTCAGAACAAAATGTTTCAAACATTTTTTATTAGGTTTCAAATATTTGTTTTCATACATTTCAGATAAAATAAGTAAACATTTAATTTTAGAAAATATTTAAGATATAAATCAACGTAAAAAATTTAAATGTTTAAATTTATTTGAAACTACATTTAAAAATACAGAACATTTTATACACATTTTTCTGTTTTAGTATTTTTCATAAAGATCAGAAACAGTTATGTATTCTTTCTAAATGGTCAATAAAACTCATCATCATCACAGAACCAAACTAAAACTTAAAGGAACCAAAGACCATTTTAACTGATGGTTTAACCAATCAGCACGCAGATATTTACCTTCATGATGGATGAGAACTTCATTTGAAGGAGGAGCTGCAGAGAGACCGATTAGTCTGAACCCATCCATCATCAGAACAGGGGGACCGATCTATAGATCAGAGGATCTGTCTACAAACCAGGGATCATCAGAACAGAGGATCTGTCTTCAAAACAGGGATCATCAGATCAGAGGATCGGCCTACAGACCATGGAGGGATCATCAGAACAGGGGGACCAGTCTATAGACCAGGGATCATCTGATCAGAGGATCTGTCTACAAACCAGGGATCATCAGATCAGAGGATTGGTCTATAGACCAGGGATCATCAGAATGGGACCGGTCTATAGACCAGGGATCATCAGAACAGGGGGGAACCAGTCTATAGAACAGGGATCATCAGACCAGAGGACCGGTCTACGGACCAGGGATCATCAGACCACAGGACCGGTCTACAGACCAGGGATCATCAGATCAGAGGATCTGTCTACAAACCAGGGATCATCAGATCAGGGGATCAGTCTGCAGACCAGTGGATCATCTGATGGATCATCAGATCAGCAGCAGAGTTTCAGTTCAGAGCTGACCCCTCGCTGACCGGCATGTTAATATGAGCCGTCAGCAGCGGTGAACTCTTCCCCTCGTGCAGCACAAACACCTTGATGATGTCAGAGACCCCCTTGTCGTTAGTGCACTCCACAAAGGTCTCAACGGGGTAGATGAGTCCGGGAACCAGCAGCGGTATCCTCATGTACGGGTTCCTCACCCTGTACAGGTTCTCGTCGTACAGGAAGCTAATGGCCAGGCTCATGATGGGCCGACAGGCCGCCGTGTTCTGAACGTTCAGGGTCAGCTTGAAAGACGGACCCAGGCCCTGGACTACAGCGTTCAACTTGAGTGGCTCAGACAGGCTGGAGGAGACCGGGGTTAGGCTGGACTCCAGAGCCTTGATGTAGGCTCTGGCAGCTGCCAGCCTTGTGCGGCTCAGGTCCATCTGGAAGGTCCGATGCATGGACAGGCCATTCTCCCTCTCCCTCAACGTTTGGTCCACATACAGCTTAGTCTTCTTGGGGACGTTAAGACGGATGCTCTGGGCCAGAGGCGGACCGGAGGTGCTGTCCCGGTCCTCAAACACTGCCGTCCTCTTCAAGATCTTCACCATCAACCCGCCTCCTTTAGTGGTCAGGATGAGGGTACCGTCCTCGCGGCCGTACCGACCGAAGCAGATGCTGGTGACTGTGTCTGGAGTCTTTATGGTGCTGAGCAAGTTCTTGTCCCGGTACAGATGCACCTCACAGTTTGCCAAGCCCACCAGAACCCCCTGAAAACCCCTGGTAGGTAGTTCCATGACAGCCATGGTGGTGATGGGGGCAGGGAGGTTGATCTTCCACAACTTCTTCCCCTGAAGAACCAAAAACAAAAATGAGACATTAGTTCTGATCTCCTGTTTGAGTCCAAAACCCGTCTTCACGAGCTCTGAAACACCTGATTGGATCTGGGTTTCTGAGGTTCAGTTCTGAGATAACTGGGATTGGGTTTACCTTCTGAGTGAAGCCCTGCAGACTCTCATCAGTGCAGCCGACCACCACGTTCTTCCCGACCCTCACCAGACCAGTGGGGTGGGACGATAGCTCGATGCAGTACTTTGGTTTGTCCGACTCCCTGAACAACATAAACATCTGTCAGTTCACCGTGACAGTCTGTAGGACTGGGTGGGCGTGGCTACAAGGTGTGTCTCACCTGCGTAGGATGTAGATGTTACCGTTTCGACATGCCACCGTGATGCGAAACTCCACGTCGAATTGACCGGTCACGTCCATCATGGTGGGGACAGCAGGCAGGGACATCTTCAACATAGTTAGAGGGGGTATACCATCATCATCATCATCATCAACATCACTTACAGAGACTCTGTGGATCCTGGTAGAATCTGGATCCTGGTAGAACCGGATCAGATCAGCTGAAAGGGGTCTACCTTGGACAGGATAGTGAAAGCTTCGGGGTCAAGGACAAAGACGGTACAGTCCTCTGTACCAATCACCAGACAGCTGACTCCGTCCTCGTCTGCTGTGCTCTTCTTCAGGGTCCCGATGCAAGTGATGACCGTCTGAAACACAAACCAGGACCTGAAACTGGATGTTGAAAGTCACCCGCCTCATGAATGATGACAACAATGATTGACTGACAAAAGATATGAAAGTAGGTTTAGGCTTGATGTACAGTATGTTGCTAAATTCTAGGTGTGTGGAAAAGTATGCTAGGAGTCATGGCTTCTGCTATCAACAAAGAACAACTCACCAGATGTTGCTTTAGAATGTTTATTATTGTTTATGAAATATGTGATGGGTGATCCTGATTGGTTGACATTTACCTTCCTCCTGATTGGGTAACATTTACCTGCCTCCTAATTGGTTGACATTTACCTTCCTCCCAATTGGGTAACATTTACCTTACTCCTAATTGGTTGACATTTACCTTCCTCCCGATTGGGTAACATTTACCTTACTCCTAATTGGTTGACATTTACCTGCCTCTTGATTGGCTGCTGTCTGTGCAGCTGGACAAACTCATCCATGTCGTTCACGTCTAGAGACAAGAACCTGAGCGATCGGATAGATAGCGGGATGTCGTCCTTCTTCCTGATGCTCTCCAACATCTCCTTTAGGGTCATGGGGTCAATCTGACCCTCCCTCACCTGCTGCCACACATCCTGACCAATCAGAACACAGCATCAGGTCACAGGTGCATCAGGTGAGTTTACAGGTGAATCTCTCAGTAATATTTAAGACCAAACACACCTGCTCCAGTGGGTTGATCTCCAGACTGGGCAGGGTGAACTTGAAGTACGGCCTCAGGTTCTTGTAGACGTAGATGCAGGGTCCGGAGGCCACGGCCACGGCGGGGATCCGGGGCTCATGCAGGTCCATGAAGAAGGCCACGAGTCCTGAGGGCAGGTCCAGCAGGACGCTCTCGCTCATTAGAGCCGTGCCCCGGTATACCTTCAGCTTCATGCCGGAGGAGCCGGTTCCCAGGTCCCCCACCACCAGCCGACTCTCCCCGTCCCCGCTCAGGTCCGCCAGGTCCACACAGGACGAGAAGGTGTAGAGACCGGCCACCGGGTCGTAGTGGGCATCTAGCCACCTTCCCCCGTCACCGCTGGACTCCACAGACGACATGATGGCAGGATGCTGATCACTTGCTCAGGTGAGTCCTGCAGGAATACACAGAACATCAGTTTAGCTGGTTCAGGTCCAGACCAGGTGCAGTCCAGTTCCAGACCAGAGTCAATCCAGTCCAGTCATAGTTCAATCCTGGCCTAGTTCAGGTCCAGTCCTGGTTCAGTCCTAGTTCAATCCAGGTCAAGTCCAGGTCCAGTCCAGTCCACACCAGCTGCAGTCCAGGTCCAGACCAGGTCCAGTCCTGGTTCAGACCAGGTCCAGTCCAGTCTAATCATGGTTCAGTCCTGGCCTAGTCCAAGTCCAGTCCAGGTCCAATCCTGGTTCAGTCCAGGTCAAGTCCAGTTTAGTCATGATTCAGTTCTGGCCTAGTCCAGCTCCAGTTCAGGTCCAGTCCAGTCCAAGCCCTGTCCAGATCCAGTCCTGTTTCAAATCTGGTTCAATCCTGGTTCAGTCTAGGTCTAGTCCAAGTCCAGCTCTGGTCAGAGTTGGGTGGTAACTAGTTACATGTACTTGAGTAACTAATTGACTAATTTTTTATGAAGTGTCGCTACGTTTACTGGAGTAAAATTTCTGGACACTCTACCCACAGTGAGTAACTTCACTGACTGAAGAACGAGCTCGATTTCACCAAAAATTCACCAGACACACACACACACACACACACACACACACACACACAC